CATCCATCCATCCATCCATCCATCCATCCATCCATCCTGCTTTCTCAGGCTCTTCCTGTCCCCTAGCCCCTCTTTCTCATTACAAAAGCAATGCCTCTTTCTAGATTGTCTTTCTTCTGTCCTCAGCTCTGCCAGACAGACTCCCAACTACCTGGCAAACTCCCACACCATCCACTCTCCTCCAGGAAGCATTTCCAGACTACCCAGCCAGTTAGTCATTTGTTTTCCTATATTCCTGCATACTGGGGCACACACCCCTCTCCTAACACTTGGGATACCAATGATTGTGATGGCTCAGTGTTTGCCAATCATGAACTATGCAGTAGACCACACTCAAGGACTCCACAAGGATGACTATATTTAACCCTGACAGTCACTGTGAAAAGCATAGAGATAGTACAGCTGCCTGCAGAATGATGGAAGGGTTTACAGGTACCTAGAGAAGCTTTGGTGAGTAGTATTAGCTCCATAACACTCAACTGGTAAATCATTAAATATACAGATGAATAAGGAAGTAATTACATTCCTGGCTCCATTCTAAAAAAAAAAAAAAAAAGGCTCAGGTGAGAACTTTTTTTTTTTTTTAAGACAAAATATCATATAGCCCAGGCTCACCCTGAACTCCTGGTCCTCCTGCCTCCACCTCCCTAGTGTTAGGATTACAGATACAAGCAATCACACATAACTCTAAAACTATTTCTTTTTAACTATAATTTAAATTTATTATTATTATTGTGTATAGGGATGTGGGCCATGGAATGTATATAGAAGTCAGAAGATATCTTTGTGGAGCTGGTTTTCTTCTTCTACCCTTACGTGGGCTCCAGGGATTGAACTCAGGTCACCCGGTCTGCATGACAAGTGCCTTTATCCATTGAACCAACATCTCAGTATCCCACTGGCAGTCTTTGTTGGATGGTGTAGCTCAGGCTGGCTTCAAATACTGTGTAAAAGGTAAATTAACTCCTTTGTTGTTGTTGTAGTTTGAGACAGGGTTTCTCTGTGTAACAGCCCTGGCTGTCCTGGAACTCACTTTGTAGACCAGGTTGGCCTCGAACCGACAGAGCTCTGGATGCCTCTGTCTCTCAAGTGCTGAGATTAAAGGCATGCAACATCACCAACTGGCTGCTTAATACCTTCTTACTCATCTTTCAAACCACCTTTACTGTTGGATGACTACCTGTGGTGTGGGGGAATCTACAAACACCTGCTGCTGGGGCAAACGGAGATAACCTGAATCCCAGCAGTGCTCCTGCCTGGCTCCCCCAAACAGCTGTGGCTCCCTGTCTGTCCCACACCCCGCGCATGTCACCTGCCAGGTGAAGAGAACACTATTCTCTTACATTGCTTCTAGAATTACATACGTGCATGGATTTGGAGGTGTGGCTGCTCTATACCAAATTACATATTGCAGGTTCATCTGGGCCTGGCATAATACCTACCCACCTGGATGTCACATCTGAGTCAGGTGTGGCCCGAGCGCCAAGGTGGCATCAATCTCCAGAGAGTTCATACGATTTGATCCTTGGTTCACCCCATTCTTATCCAAAGCCACACCCAGGGAATGAATTATAAAGAGCCTAATGAAACCCTCATAAATATTAATAGGTCATAAACAACCGTCTCGGGCTAAATTATGCAATGCGCACTGGTGCCAGTGCTCTGAAGGCCTGCTAGGTCATTCTCATTTCTAGGCACCTCTACTGGAGCTCTTCTCCCTGGAGATCCTGGTCCTCCTGCCACTGCCAACAGCACACAGGCAGGTGTGGATGGAGATTTGGATGCAACCACAGCACAGCACATGCGGGTGGGGAACTGATAAGCCCAAATCAACTCCAGATGGTACTGGATCATGTGCCCCTCAATATAAAGAAGGGGTAGGGACGAATTGCATTTGTGCCCACTCATGTCTGTGGGCTAATGGGGAGCTTCCATTAAGCCAGGCATTCATCGTGCCTGCATTATCTGGAATAGGATTTATGATCAACCACTTGTTTGCTAAGGTCTAGTATTTTTTATCTGGCTGATGCTAAGCATAAACTATTATGTCAAAAAAAAAAAACCAAACATACTGTGTGAACAAGTCAGTGTTTGTCACGTGGGAGGACAGGTGGGACCCATCTTCTGTGGTTTGGCTTGACTCACAAGAACAGCAGCACGGCCTCTTAGAGCTGAGTGCCCATCACCCATGCATGAATCTGGCATGGGAAGGCCTGACCAGAAAAAAGTAAGCAATAAAAGAGAACACCTGTGTTTGTCTGCACTCCCAGTCCCGGGAAGCTGCTCCACCCATGTGTCAATCATGTGTGGAAGGGCTGTCAATTGCAGTAGCCAAGTCTCCTGGATTTTATTATTATGAATCCAGAGTCAGGGCAATAAAAAAAAATTCACTATTGAGTTGGAAGAGAAAGATTTATCTTTTGGTTCATAGACCTGTCAAGATGGGACCCAGACATTCCAAGAGGAGAGGAACCTGACCTCGGTATAGAGCAATAGAGCAAAATAGTCAACATGGGAGGAAAGAGAGAGGATGGGAGACTGCATGGTGGGCCATCTTGCCTCCATGAGTGAACGGTTTCTCTGTCAGCTTGACTGGTTTGAACTGGGTTGCTGAAAAGCCCAGCAAAAGCGACCTTAGAGTCTCAGTGTAGACTGCTGGTCCCTGTTCAGCTCTTCCACTCCTCAGCAAGGATAAGACAGACTCCCGGACATTCCAAAGGCCTTCATTCCCCTCACAGAGGCCAACAACTCAGGCTTGGGGCCACTACTATTGACTGAAGCACCACAAACTGAAGATGCTCTCGTTTTCTTTGTATCTCAGAGTGACCTGTCAGCCACATGGCATGGAGACTCTGCTGCTCGAAGCCACTCGAGCTTGTAAACTAGGACCGGCCAGACACGACAAGCCACCCTCTGACTGATGATTTTTCAAAGCGCACCCTCAGAGCCAGGTGTGGTGGTGCATGCCAGTAAGCTTAGCAACCAGGACGTGGATGCAGGAGACCAGGAATTCGAGGCTGGTCACTAGGACATAGTAAGTTTGTGGCCAGCTTGGGCTACGGGAGACCCAGGCTCAAAACAAAAGACATTGTGTTAGCCAGTCTCCCTCAGAATGTTCACCTTTGGATCGGCCACCAGGGCAATGCCACTTCCTAATAAAACAGGCCTGCTAGGCAAGGTGACTGACTCACACCTTTAATTCTGGCACTGAGACAAGAGAATTGCCTTGAGGTCAGAGCCAGCCTGGGCTAACAGTTCTAAAAAAAAAAATCCTCCATGAGAGACAGTGTATCAAATAGTGACCACACAACTTCTTTCTATGGTACCTCCTTATATGACTTTCTTGGGGGTTGCAGTGACCATACATGGGGTTCTTTTAAAAAGAAAGCTACCATATACAATGACTAAAAAAGGTAACTCAATTCCCCAGAGACCATGAACGGGGGAAATTACAACTTTGAAGAAGGCATTGGTGGGAGGGGCACCCAGGGCATCTGTCTTCTCCCTTTTCCTTTGTCACCCTGCTGTCTCTGCTTGAAGCTAGAGTGTGGCAAGTTTTGGACCAGTATGAGGGGAGAGGGACTGATGGGGGTCTCTTCTCATGGCTGAAGCGCATGTGGTTTTGGTACAGTTGGAACACTGGCCTGTACTCTGCACATTGGTGTATGGGGCTCAGGAGCTTGGCAGCTGTCTCCCTGGGGCAATGGAAAGCAGCCATATCCCACGGTGGCCTTAGCCACTCCCCATCACCAAAACAAAAACACAACAGGCTCCATTGCTATGGAGAGTTCAATCCTCTTGTCCTGGGATTGGCACAGACTAGAATTCCATGGGCTTTGCTGAGCTACCTCCCGAGAGATCTAAATACCGTGTGTTCAGTGTTAACCTAAACACACAGCCTGGATCTGCACCAGCAACGAATCTCAGCTTTAGCAGCCTGTCGAGCGATGACATGTCAGAGATGTCAGAAGAGTGATGTTCTGGGCCCTAGGTTCACTGAGACTGCTAACAGTGGGCCACGGGGCACACAAGCAGTTTAGGGAAGACTATCTCATCCACAGGTGTACGCCTGAGCAGAGACACAGATCCTGGGAAAGGGGCAAGGAGATGTTCAGAAGAAAATACCAGCAATTACCCCACAGCTCAGACTGGGAAGACGGCTCAATGAGCACAAAGCTTGCTGAGTGGGCATGAGGATCCGAGTTCCAATCCCCAGCAGCCATATAGAATCTAGGCAAGGAGACAAACATCTGCAAGCCCAGCATTGAGGGGACAGAAACAGGAGGATTGTGGAGGCTCACTGGCCAGTCAGTCTAGCTGAAATAGCGAGCCTGAAGCTCAGTGAAAGAACCTGTCTCGAAAGAGCAATGGGGAGAGCAATAGAGGAAGATGACTGAAGGTGACCCCCGGCCTCATATGCACACACACAGGCAGTGCGCCCACACACACCCCACCCCACAAAACCAAACGGGAGGCTTTCTAAAATGTTCACTGCCAGTAGACAGGCACTAAATGGCACATGTTAGGTGACACCGTGCTTAAGCTGTAGACTCACACAGAGCCACCGTGCCTCCTAGAAGTATGAACGCAGCTGAAACAATTGCTTTCTTGGTCTGCACATCTCTAGAGCAGCACAGGGACCTGCAAGTGTCCGATGCTCAGATGAGACGAAGGGTACCTTGTATACAGAAGTTGCTCAATAAAGAGCAGGACCCACAGGCAGCAGGGTTGTAGAGACAGGAGGACTAGGAGATAGGGTGGTGCCGTTTGTTTCATGCCTCCATTTTGCTTTTGGCTCCTTCCCTTGGAGAAAGAACAAAGGGGTAGCAGTGGCCACCACAATTGGATCAACTTCAAGGCACCCCTTCCAGGCAATGGAAGCTGTCCCCTGAAAACCACAATATAGCACCCACAGGCACATCTATTAAGAACCTCAAAATGAGAAGATAACATCTCTTCGGTTTCTTTTCCTTGAGAAATGTCTGTGGGGGTTCCCTTACCTTGGTGTTCATGCAGGCTTTTCCTCGCTTGTACTCCTTGTGGGCGCCGCGCTTATCCAGCTTGTGCCAGAGGGCCTTGGCCTTCCAGGTGTTCACCTTGGACTTGAGCTGAGAGTAGAAGTTTCTATGGTCCAGCGGATCTAGGTCCAGGAGGCAGGTGAGGATGTTGAAGGCCTGGAGGGTGCCTTTGCACGTGGTAGCTTGCACAAAGTTCTCAAAGACCTGGCTGGCCTGGGCCTGTTTCTCATCCTCATTTTCTCCCATGGTTCAGGAGCTGCGTGGAACCGTGGTGTGGAGGGGTCCGAGGGCTACCATAAAGTGCTTGTAAAGGTGTCACACCTGCAAAGGAAGGTGTCGACAGGTGAGTCTCACATCCTCTAAAGGGACTAAAGGGCTGCTCTTGATTCCACATGCTCACCGCTCCACCTGAACCTTATTTGGAGAAGGTCCAATGTACCTTCTAGCCTGGCATGATGCCTTGCTGACAACCTCGCTCCCCAGCCCCCAGTCCTTTCCCTGGCTGGAGAACTGCAGATTGCACCCAGCTATATAAATATACTCCAGAGAATGTCAACAGGGCTCAGGCAATCATGCTGCAAGTCAGATGGCTCTGGAAACAGGGAGTAGGGAAAAGGAAAAGGCCAGACAGGCACAGCAGATTTAGCCCCTATGGAAACCTATCGTTCTTGGTGCTGCAAACGGATTGACAGGAATTTGACCTGGTTATAATGATGTCAGTGCACAGGTAAAAAACCCCATAGGCCATTATCTTCCTCCAGGCACTCTGACCCTTTCCACTGATCACCCTGGGGTCAGGTTTTCCCCAATACAGGTGACAAGTGGCAACCTCTTACAACTTCTGTTTCTGGAATCCACCGGAAGCATCTACATCAGGCAACCAGAAGACAGAGTGACATGGCCTTCTCTTTGCCAATAGTGAAAGGATCCTGGTCTGTGCAAAACCAAGCTGAGAGCTGTCTGAACGAGCGATTGGACTGACAGAACTGGGACATGCAACAGGGTGTTCATTCACATGGCTGAAATAGTTTGCTTGGGTTTGGGGCATGCTCCCTGCATCCCCCTCTCTGGGTCATTCTAACCTCAAGCATGTCTTAGGAAAGTCGTTTCAGCTTCAAAGGGATGAAATGAAGGAAAGCCACTTCTCCAAAGCAAAGCTTTTTTTTTTTTCTCTAAATGCATACTTAGAGCAAGAAGGCCAGCGAGAGGGCTTTGAACTGGCCCCAGTGTTGGGGTTCTGAGGAACCTGGCAATGGGAGACTGGACAACACACAGAGTAAAAGGCCCCAGGCAGCTTCGTGCTTCCTAGATTGGATCATTTATGAAGGGCACATCTGGATCAGAGATTGGTTTCAAAATATCCAAAAGCAGTCAGGAGGCTGTGTGTCTTTTTTCCCTAATGTCTGATTCATCCACAACAGTTTCTGTCACCTTGGCAAATATCAGCATTGCACTGGGTGCCGGGAATACAGAGATGGCTCTTGCAGAGAGAGACCCCAGCTGGGGAAGAAGATAGAACAGTGGGCAAAAGAGCACTGTAGCATTTGGACAAAGAACCTGGGGTTTCTTTGAGAAGCCAGTGTCCCACTGAGCCTGGAGAAGCCTCCAGGAAATGCCAAATTGCTTCTGTTGTAGGAAGGAGAGGGATTGCAGTACAAGGTCAGGGAGTGGCCATTATGGGCCATCCTTCAGAGGCATGAGTGGGGAAAGAGCTGGCTCAGTTACAGCAACAGTAAATTCAAGGTGTTAACAGCTCAGGATTTCTGCAAAAGTGATAGATCAGGGGTTCTGAGATCAATCGTGGCGGATCTCCTCCAGGTCAAGGGGTATACATGGCTCATGTGGGAGCCTGTTTTCCCCCTCCTGCTCTTCAAGGGCATCTGCTGTGCAGGCACTGTGCCCACATGGAGATTAACCTCCGTCACTGTGTGAGGTCTTAACTTGCATATGTTGGCCAGGCCCATCCTTCAGGAAGGCCTACCTCGATACCCTGATCCAAGCCGCCCAACTAGTTACACAGGTGGAGAGAGCTAGCAATCCCAGTGCCCTGCCTAGCTTGGAGGAGACATGAATTCTATCTCTTGTGCTCCCTTTGCTCCTCTGACATCCCCGGCACTTGCCTGGCATCTCACATCAACACTGTGGCCTCTCTGCGGGTCATACTTGCCACCCAGAAAGCACCCACAGGAAGCAGAGCTCATCTGCTTCTCTGAGTGTGTTTACATTCCCAGACTTGTCTATCTTTGGAACCAGAACAGTGTGGCATTGCATGGGGGCTGTGGAGGGCAGCTAAGAGACAAAACAAGGCTCCCTCTACAATCCCCAGTGGGATGGATTGACCTTGGAGTGCGGTGGGTGACCTTGGAGATTTGGGAGCAGGTGAGCAAAGCCCCTTTACCGCCACATGACCTCATACAAACCACTTAAATGACAAGACTCGGTTTCTTCTAAGGGAAGGATGATAACCTCAGGCCAAGAAGTACTGGGCATGTGTGCTAATATAAGAAATGTATGTAACACACGTTATATCCAAATCCACTCGCCTCTCCCAGCTTCCTATCTAAAATCTGTCTAAAACTGCATACCATTAGCAAGTATCAAGCCAGATCTGTCTCCCAGGAGACAATTACAAACCTGAAGAACTTGACTTCTCTCTCTCTCTCTCTCTCTCTCTCTCTCTCTCTCTCTCTTAAAACCACTTAAATCTTGGACTTCAGTAGAGGATGAGGCAAAGGTGGTGTGAGGGTCTGGGGGTGTGAGAGTTCCCAGAACTGGCTCTTATCTAGGGTGCGATAAGAGAAGGGGAGGTAAAGGGCCCATGGGAGGAGTTTGGCTCTGGACACGAACCCCCCTGTACCAGGCTTGGACACGCCTCCCTGGATCTAAACAGTCTCTGCATTTTTAAAGACTGGATTGCCAAGTCATACCACTTTAAGACGGCACTGTCACATGGTGGGTAGCCATCTTTGTAGGAACATCAGATCGTTTATTCAATCAAAGAAACCTGTGCCTGGGTCAAGTCTGAAGAACTTGCCAGATGTGTGACATGAGACACACCATCTCAGTTGGTAACTTGACAATTTTCTTGTCTGCAAGATGGAGACAATACTTCTCACATCATAGGATCACAAGAGAGAAAGCCTTCAGGTTTGGGATGTACTTACTGTTTGCTGGCCTTGTAACTAGCACTAATCTTTCAATGGTTCAAACATCAGCTCAAAGAGAAACATAACCTAGGGCTTAGAAGGCTTCCCAAAGCATTTGCCTAGCATGCGCAGACCTAGAACTGACAAAAAAAAAAAAACAAAAACAAAAAAACAAAATACAAGCACAATCCCAAACCCTGCTAGGTTAGCTTCCTATGTCAAGAAATTACAAATATCTTAAAACTACAATACACAGCCCATTCCAGTAATCTCAGCTCTTGGGAGGCAGAAGTATGTTAGGCCAGCCTGGGCTACATAGGAAGACCCTGTCTTAAAACAAAACAAACAAAAACTCTAGAAGTCAAGAACATCAGTTCAGAAGATCTAGGCCTAAGCTCCCTTCTTAGCCATGTAGTCTTGGGCAAATCTCCAAATTTGTGAGTTTTAATTTCCCCATATGCCAAGGGGGAATCTCACCCAGGGAGTTTTGATAATAAACTGAGACCACAGAGTGCATACGTGCAGTGTTGGTCAGGGGCCTGCCTAGCACTGCGAGCGGGACACAGTGAGTCTGAGCCTTAAGCTTCCATTTTTTAGAGATTTGTGGGTTCATGACCTCTGGGAAATACTCCTACCAGCTCCAAATGACAAAGGCCAAAAATTGTTAAAGCAGAGTTGAGCAAGGTGGCTCAAGCCTGTAATCCCAGTGCTTTCAAGGTAGAAGCAGGGAGATTAGGCAGGAGTTAAGGTCACCCTTGGCTACAAACTGAGTTCAAGGCCATCCTGAGGCTATACAAGACCACAGTCTCAAAAACAAGAAGAGTACTTCAATCAGAGGCTCCTGGGTGGCTGGTTCTTGGTAGTCTGCCCTTTTAACCACCGCCCAGATGTTGCCTCTCTGGAGTCTGAGACGTAGTAGAAATAGAACCAACTAGCTAGAAATATGCAGGGTTTTGCATTTTCTGGGAAGAAACAAGATGTGATGTGTCGTTTCCAAGAATAGCCTGCAGAAGTTTGGGCTTGGGCTTTGTTGACTGAGTCCCTTATTTGCGGTTTTTCAGCTTCCCTGCCTGTGTGACTTCATGAGTCACAGAGACATTCCCTTCTCCTGCCTCTGACCCTCCAAAGTGAACATCCGGAGCCCTGTACCGCAGGTGACATCATAGTGATGGGCTCAGTCCGCAGCATCTGGGAGACAAAGGTCACAGTTTGCATGACAAACCTGTGGTCCCTCTCTATGTAAGTGCTGGGACTCCTGAGTCCTGGCTGGCCTATGTACTCACATTTAGAACTTCACTCCCGAGGTGTCCTCTGAGCCCCACCACCCGATGGCCAATATAACAATGACTTGGGGAAAAGGTGGAGTTCCTGAAAACTTATGAAGGCCTGGGGAGGGACATGGGGTAACCATGTCTAGGACAGACATTCAACCCTCTACCCTATCCACAGACAAGATCTGTTTCAAGGTCACTGCAAGCTAAGAACAAACTCTTGTGTCCTTTTCATGCCAAGCTGCCCTCTCTCAGGTCTGCTGCAGCAAGGGGTCTTTGAGGGAGTCTCAGCAATGACCTAGGTGCCGCTCTGTATTCCGTGTGGATAGGAAACACCACCAGCCCGCTGGCCTTTTTTTTTTTTTTTTGGAGCCTGTCCTGGAACTAGCTCTTGTAGACCAGGCTGGTCTCAAACTCACAGAGATCCGCCTGCCTCTGCCCCCCAAGTGCTGGGATTAAAGACGTGCGCCACCACCGCCGGCAAGCCTTTTATACTGCAGAAAACCAGTCACGGCTACCTGAATCCCTAAGCTGAGGTTAAATCCAGCTAGGGGTGTGGTAGGAAACACTTCCCTCATGGCTAGTTCTCTGTGGAGCCCCCGGAAATGACAGGAAGCCCTGATCCCCACAGGTGGCCTGAAACCCTAACTTCCCATCTGGCCCTCCATTTCGCTGAACACTAGGCAACCAACACAAACTGGGCACAGCTCCAAGCCTGGTAACACAGGCTTATCAACCTAGTGACTCAAAAAGCTAAGGCAGGAGGATGGCAATTTTGAAGTCCATCAAGGCCAGCCTGCACACTTTCGTTAGACCCTGTTTCAAAATAAGAACTGAAAAGCCGACCAAGAAGCTAGCTCAATGGAAGACTTTTCTAATGCTAATGTGTGAGGCCCTGGGTTCA